GAAGCTGCGCCTGCACAGAAGGGACACTCGCCATCTTGGTTTTGAATTGGATACAACGTTAATATAATGGGAAGAATTTTTCGTGCTCTAGAGGTTAAAATTGGATTGACACCTCTCAAATAGGAGGCGAAATTGTTGGATGTGCATTCCTGCATAACTTGAGATATCAGACGACTGGACAAGACAGCTCCAGGAACCTCAGATAAGCTCTCTAGATTTGTGTATAATTCTGGCCAGTGTTTTCATAAATTTAGTTAGGGAGGTTTTTCTGAGTATGATACACATTAATCTCCAGTCAAATTGGTGAGTGATATTAAGATATATTTTCCTTCTGTTATGTAATTGTGTATATATATAACCATTTATTATTTTTAATATACAGTCCACAAATTTATATATTTACCAGCATTCCTGGTGTATGTATATTTCATTTAATTAATAGGTCCAGAGCAACTTGTGGATATGACAGTGGTAGGTATCGAAGGGGGACATTTTTGCGACCTAAGTGTCCCAAATTCCTACTTGTCTAACTGATAAATAATAGTTATCATTGTTCATTTACTGTTGTGTATATAATTATACATCCAAGTAAATGCAATTTTCCACAGTAAGACAAGAACGACGTTTTGTAAAACCGTACTGAGATTCATTGGCCAATTTATGTCTTTCAATGTGGTTTCGAATAGCCTCGGCAATTAATGATTCCATAAACTTTCTCACAATAGAGACTAAATTAACTGGTTTATAATTCGAAGCTAACGACCTGTCTTTTCGTTGTCATTTTCCACTTAAATGGCACTATACCAGTTGGTAGTGATATGTTTAAAAGATGCTAATGGTTTGTTTAGTTCCTTCTTATATTACTTAATAACTTTTGAGAATAGTTCATCAGGGTGCTGTTAGACTTGCCACGTTAAACTTGCGACATTAGGCTTGCGATGTTATACTTGTCACGTTAAACTTACTACGTTAATCTTGTGATGTTAGTCTTGCGACGTTAGACTAGTGACATTAGACCTACAACATAAGACTTGGGAGGCTAGATTTAAAAGTTGTAAGATTTGGAAGAGGTGTTTAGGAGGGTGTGTAAAAGAAGAAAGCTTTATTAAAAACATCGAAAATGACCAAGGTAAGATGATGTCAATGACGTGAAACATTGAACGTTAGATTGGAATCAATTGTCGAGGAAGCGAATATATTTAACTGTTTAGGAGGATGTGTGGGCAGATGGGCGCATGAACGGTTACCTGGAGTTTACCTGGAGAGAGTTCCGGGGGTCAACGCCCCCGCGGCCCGGTCTGTGACCAGGCCTCCTGGTGGATCAGAGCCTGATCAACCAGGCTGTTACTGCTGGCTGCACGCAAACCAACGTACGAGCCACAGCCCGGCTGATCAGGAACCGACTTTAGGTGCTTGTCCAGTGCCAGCTTGAAGACTGCCAGGGGTCTGTTGGTAATCCCCCTTATGTATGCTGGGAGGCAGTTGAACAGTCTCGGGCCCCTGACACTTATTGTATGGTCTCTTAACGTGCTAGTGACACCCCTGCTTTTCATTGGGGGGATGTTGCATCGTCTGCCAAGTCTTTTGCTTTCGTTGTGAGTGATTTTCGTGTGCAAGTTCGGTACTAGTCCCTCTAGGATTTTCCAGGTGTATATAATCATGTATCTCTCCTGCCTGTGTTCCAGGGAACACAGGTTTAGGAACCTCAAGCGCTCCCAGTAATTGAGGTGTTTTATCTCCGTTATGCGCGCCGTGAAGGTTCTCTGTACATTTTCTAGGTCAGCAATTTCACCTGCCTTGAAAGGTGCTGTTAGTGTGCAGCAATATTCCAGCCTAGATAGAACAAGTGACCTGAAGAGTGTCATCATGGGCTTGGCCTCCCTAGTTTTGAAGGTTCTCATTATCCATCCTGTCATTTTTCTAGCAGATGCGATTGATACAATGTTATGGTCCTTGAAGGTAAGATCCTCCGACATGATCACTCCCAGGTCTTTTGACGTTGGTGTTTCGCTCTATTTTGTGGCCAGAATTTGTTTTGTACTCTGATGAAGATTTAATTTCCTCGTGTTTACCATATCTGAGTAATTGAAATTTCTCATCGTTGAACTTCATATTGTTTTCTGCAGCCCACTGAAAGATTTGGTTGATGTCCGCCTGGAGCCTTGCAGTGTCTGCAATGGAAGACACTGTCATGCAGATTCGGGTGTCATCTGCAAAGGAAGACACGGTGCTGTGGCTGACATCCTTGTCTATGTCAGATATGAGGATGAGGAAACAAGATGGGAGCGAAGTACTGTGCCTTGTGGAACAGAGCTTTTCACCGTGCCTGCCTCGGACTTTGCTCTGTTGACTACTACTCTCTGTGTTCTATTAGTGAGGAAATTATAGATCCATCGACCGACTTTTCCTGTTTTTCCCTTTAGCCGCATTTTGTGCGCTATTACGCCATGGTCACACTTGTCAAAGGCTTTTGCAAAGTCTGTATATATTACATCTGCATTCTCTTTGTCTTCTAGTGCATCTAGGACCTTGTCGTAGTGATCCAATAGTTGAGACAGACAGGAGCGACCTGTTCTAAACCCATGTTGCCCTGGGTTGTGTAACTGATGGGTTTCTAGATGGGTGGTGATCTTGCTTCTTAGGACCCTTTCAAAGATTTTTATGATATGGGATGTTAGTGCTATCGGTCTGTAGTTCTTTGCTGTTGCTTTACTGCCCCCTTTGTGGAGTGGGGCTATGTCTGTTGTTTTTAGTAACTGTGGGACGACCCCAGTGTCCATGCTCCCTCTCCATAGGATGGTAAAGGCTCGTGATAGGGGCTTCTTGCAGTTCTTGATGAACACAGAGTTCCATGAGTCTGGCCCTGGGGCAGAGTGCATGGGCATGTCATTTATCGCCTGTTCGAAGTAATTTGGCGTCAGAATAACATCGGATAGGCTTGTGTTAACCAAATTCTGTGGCTCTCCCATAAAAAATTCATTTTGATCTTCGACTCTCAGTCTGGTTAGCGGCTTGGTAAAAACTGGGTCATATTGGGACTTAAGTAGCTCACTCATTTCCTTGCTGTCATCTGTGTAGGGCCCATCTTGTTTAAGTAGGGGCCCAATACTGGACGTTGTTCTCGACTTTGATTTGGCATAGGAGAAGAAATACTTTGGGTTTCTTTCGATTTCATTTATGGCTTTTAGTTCTTCCCGCCATTCCTGACTCCTATAAGATTCCTTTAGCTTAAGTTCGATGCTTGCTATTTCTCTGACCAGTGTCTCCCTACGCATTTCAGATAGATTGACCTCTTTTAGCCGCTCTGTTATTCTTTTCCGTCGCCTGTAAAGGGAGCGCCTGTCTCTTTCTATTTTACATCTACTCCTCCTTTTTCTTAGAGGAATAAGCCTTGTGCATACATCGAGTGCCACCAAGTTCTAGGCATAAGTTGGGGTCTGTGTTGCTTAGTATATCTTCCCCGCTTATATCGGTTAGGACTTGGTTTACTTGGTCCCACTTTATGTTTTTGTTATTGAAGTTGAATTTGGAGAATGCTCCCTCGTGACTAAGCTCATTATGTCGGTCTGGGGCTCTGAGCATACATGTCTGAACCTCAATTATGTTGTGATCTGAGTATATTGTTTTTGATATGGTGACATTTCTTATCAGATCATCATTGTTAGTGAAGATGAGGTCTAGTGTATTCTCCATTCTAGTAGGCTCTATTATTTGCTGGTTTAAATTGAATTTTGTGCAGAGATTTAAAAGCTCGTGTGAGTGTGAGTTTTCATCAGAGCTGCCTCCTGGTGTTATTACTGCAACAATATTATTTGCTATATTCCTCCATTTTAGGTGCCTTAAGTTGAAATCCCCCAGGAGCAAGATGTTGGGTGCAGGAGCTGGAAGATTTTCCAGACAGTGGTCAATTTTAACAGCTGTTCCTGGAATTGCTGGGATGTTGCATCCGGAGGCTTGTAGACTACCACAATGACTAGGTTTTGGTTCTCGATCTTTACCGCTAAAACTTCCACTACATCATTTGAGGCATTCAGCAGTTCTGTGCAAACAAGTGACTCTGCAATGTACAGGCCAACCCCCCCCCTTTTGCCTGTTCACTGTCACATCTGTATAGGTTGTAACCTGGGATCCATATTTCGTTGTCCAAGTGATCCTTTATGTGGGTCTCAGTGAAAGCCGCGAACATTGCCTTTGCCTCTGCAAGCAGTCCACGGATGAAAGGTATTTTGTTGTTTGTTGCTGGCTTCAGACCCTGTATATTTGCAAAGAAGAATGTCATCGGACTGGTGGTATTGTTGATACTGGGGGGACATTTTTTTTCCGGCATTAGTATCTGTATCTGTTGGTTTGGAGTGGAGGCCATCGACTGTGGTTCCACTCCAAGAATGACTGGATTTGGTGTACGATTTCTGCTATTTCCTGCCAGTTTTCTTTCCTTCCTGGCACTAATAAACCTCTCCCTCTTGAGTGGCTGTGGCTACCCAGGTTTTCCCATGGCCTGGATGTTTTGTATCTTTTTGTCCCCTTTAGATGGCGTGCCTGGCAATTTAAGCTATAGCACAGTCTTTCCTGTACTGAAGAGGTACACAGTTGGTTAGGAGAATCAACGAATAAACTAGGGAAAAGAAGGTACCTGGTGTTTTGAAGAGTCTGTAGAAAGAAAGAAGTTTGACAGTGGTTTAGTGTTTTTGTATTGGTGTGAAACATGGTTACTAATCATGATTGTTTTTACTGAATATTATAGTCAGCCTGCTGAAAGTAAATATTACAAGCACTGGAATGGAAATAAGTCACTTCGTCTGACTTTTTGGGTTATATATATGTTACTATGTGAAGGACTAATGAATTCAAGCTCCTCATCTTCCACCGTTCTTCTCTATAATGGACTGAAGAAGCCACCGGCTGGTGAAATGTTTCCTTAATAAAGATTCCCAAATCTTGCACAAGTGTCTCATACTCCAACAGCTGCAGCTACAACACTCATTTAAATTATTTCCCAGGAGAGGTGAGATCAATGCCCAGCAGAGCAGAGGAACTGCCAGAGCTGCTGATACAACTGCTCACCACAACACAGCCACTACTGCGCACCATGAAGGCTCTTATGGTTACACTAGGCGCTAGTGGCTTTGTGGTTAGTATCTTATTTATATATGCAGTAAGACGTGTTTATAACCTATACATATCGTTTATTTGTAGCTCATATGTATCTAATGTTAGTAATACATACACTGGACCGCGGGGACTTTGACCCCTGGAACCTTCTCCAGGTATACTCCAGATACACACACACACACACACACACACACACACACACACACACACACACACACACACACACACACACACACACACACACACACACCACACACACATATATATATTTTATTAATATTATATATATATATATATATATATATATATATATATATATAATATATATATATATGGAATAACATTAATATAACATAAGGGCACTTTTTAAATAAATAATGTGAATTTTATACAGACCTAGTGGAGAAACGTATACGTTCAGGAATATTTAGCCCGAAATGCTTTGTAGAACTAAGAGCAGGAAGATCAAAGACTGGAGCTCATTACCCCAGAATTTAACTTAAATGGATATATTTTTGTTTACAGATTGTGAGGCGCGCATCTCTTGATGGTATAGATGAACCATTACTACCTGTGTCACCTGGTCTGCAAGTGTCAGACAGAAGTGCCACACTGACTGCTGAAGATGTAGTCGCTCTACACTTCCCAGCACCACAAACTGCACACATAGTGTCAGTGTCTGGAGCAGGTGACTGGTAAGTAATTGGTCTACTTTTAAAGACACGTTAACGTAGCAGTCAGCCCAGGAAATGTCAAGGCATAAGTTCTTATAGTTGACACACAATGCTATGTAAGAGCACGCCACTATAAACTGATATTAATGAATTCATCAACCCTTCGTGGGAAGTTCCCTGATACTAATGAGGAACTCTTGGTTAAAGGAATTGACCCTATCATCTCCTTCCTTGGATCGAACCTAATTATCTCCCATACTGCAGGTGCTGTATAACCCCTACCTGTTTAGGGCTTTTCCCTAATTTATAAAAATACCCTCAGCAATTGTGTTACACTTTCAGTGTTGTCAATTTCTGTACACTGCACAACATTATACTCACTCACTATTACCTGTACAAGATAGGATATGTAGATAAATGGTTCAGAGAACCGACAAGAGGTAATCAGTCCCTCAGACTTGACTCAAGGCTAAGGGATTGATTACCTCAAACTCCTCTTGTTCTTCACCATTCTCCTTTTTATGGACTGATGAAGCCACTGTGTGGCGAAACGTTTCCTCATTAAAGATACCCATTATTATTATTATTAAAGATTAGCCGGTATTCTCCCGGCCCGGGCCCTTTCCAAGTGGTGGCCCGGCCTTGGCTCCCTCTTTAGGGAGTGTCTGAGACCTAAGTCTCCCATGGGAGGAGGCACAATTACCTCCTCATCTTTGGGACCAACTGTCCCCAGGCCTAGCCACAAGCTAGGTCTCTCTGGTCTGCCATCCCCGCCACAAGGGGGCTAATGGGATTGACAGTCTTATGAGCTAAAGGCTCGGGCTCAGGCACCTACCCTACCCTAGAAGGGCTGGGCATGGTGTCGATGAAAAAGATACCCATTGTTGCACACGTCTCTAATTTATCATGATAGGATATATATTAATCTTCTGTTAATTAAATGAAAAATAATTTTATATATAAAACAATTGTACTATATAAAGAACACGTATTATATATTTTTAATATAAATTTTGTTAATTATTCGTTTATTTATATATTCATTTATTATTAAGTGGGTTGTAATAAGGACACATCTTGCTATTTTTATTTTATTGAGTTACAGAATCATACAAGTATTTAATTAATGATTGCAGATAATTACATGTATAAATTATTTTATAATAAATAGGCATGTATTGGATTTCTTAATAGTTAAAATAGTACTATTTGGTTGTGAATTAAACAATATATTCTTAATTTTAGTTAATAAATTCTAATATTGTTCATAGAAGACTTGTCTTGTGTTATTAACCCGGAAAGTTAGGATAGGACACTCTCAGGTAAGACTCATTAGAGGGTGAGAGGGTAGAGTGGGATAATGGAAGAGAGGAGAGGGAGATGAATGGCTTCAGGACCTAGGGAAACAGACAGGGCTAGATCCAGCCGTATGACGTTGGTTGGCCACAGTTGACAGAAGAGTGCTACTGCTTGCTGTGCTGACTATGTGCTTGCTACTGTAGACCGTAGTCCGGATTAAAGTAGCAAAGGATCGGTAGTAGGAACCGCGAGTACGTTATACGCGAGGTCTGCTGTTTCTCGAATGCTATTATAGATAGATGGAGAGGGATATGGTATTAATGGCTAGAAAGAAAGGGCGTCTTTTAAGGTCTCCTTAGAGGTTTCGTGTGCAGTGAGTTGTGTAATGTCATCTGCATATGCTATTGTAAGTGTGCTTTGGCATTCAAGGTCTGGTATGTCATTTGTGTAAAAGGTATACAGAGTAGTAGAGAACATAGAGCCTTGAGGTACTCCCGCATGAAAAGTGAAGAAGTGGGAGCGACAGTTTTTGAACTTAATTCTCATAGTACGGTCATCAAGGAAGTTGCAGAGTAACTTTTTAACATTCGAAGGAAGGTCAAAAGGGTTACATAGCTTATACTTGAGCCCCGCATGTCAGACAGTGTCGAAAGCTTTCTCCACATCTTTAACAACCAGGACTGTCGAACATCCTTGAGTCTTATTGATGTTAATGTAGTTCAGAATGATGCTGAGGGCTGCTTGCCTCGAGCTGTGTTGGCTGAAGCCAGACTATCGGTTAGTAAGGAGGTGGTTTATCTCAAGATGAGTCCTTAGTCTTGTGTTAATTAGTCTTTCAAATGTCTTTCCGAGGATTTCTAATAGACTGATAGGACTGTAGTTCCTCGGGTCAGTTGGATCTTTGTGAGGTTTGGGAAAAAGAATGGCAGTTGCAGATTTGAAAAGGGGAGGGAAGTAGCCTGCAGCAAGGCAAGCATTATAGTTGTCAGTGAAGGCAGAAATAAGAGAGTCGGGAAGGTGTCGGAGAATATGGTGAGAAAGGCCAAAAGCACCAGGTGCTTTTGGGGGAAGTCGTAAAATTAAAGACTTTACAAGTGGTAAGAGAACGGTGTATTGAGGAGATGGGTGGATGTGAGAGAGGCGAGGTGAATGATGAGGTCGGGAGGGGTGTTGTCTTGTTTGTATCGACCCTGTAATGTTTATGTTATGAGTTATATACTGGAAGTGTGTTCTTCTGGGACTCCAGTGATCTTCCAAATAAAATTCGAAAATTTCCTGGGGTCCCGTATGCGGTGTGTATCAGCAGTGTAAAAAAAGGGTTGTCAAGTCTGGGTGGTGCCCTTCAAGTGCGGATGTGTGTTTTCCCGGGGAAGATGAGTCTCCGTGCGTGTTTTTAATCTGTAGGTTGGGTTAGTAAGTCAGGATAACCCAGGAAAGTCAGTTTTTGCCATATTTTGTAGGAATGAATCTTTTAAAATTTTTTAAAACTCTACTTATACAAGGGGGAAAAAGGAAAATAAGGTGTAACTAAATCCCAAAAAAAGGCAAAATACCGTGACTTGTCCCATTTGTAAATGTTCCAAGTCGGACCAAAAAAGTGGGTCAAAGCCCTCTCTTCTATGTGTGAGTTATTTGTGTATTGTGTAAATGGCTGTAAAGAAACTTTATAACTTTCCCCCTAACCCCGATCGAATTTGTCCTTCGTTTGTGAACCGAAGGCGCTGCACTGAGCTGGGCCCCTCGTGTATTTTTTGATTTTCTAAATACTAAAAACCCTAAAATATTATTTGTTATTAATTCAACCTTTTTTTGAAAAAATTTGTAAATAATTAAAATTTCCCCAGATTTAAAAATATTTTTCACGCTGGCTGCTGGGTTTATAGGGGATGCTGAAAAGGGGAAGACCTGAGTGATTAGTGCTTTAGGGTGAGTTCTGCTGCACTCTCTCTGGCTTCTTCTCCTGCTGTACCACAAACACTCTCACCATCTGCCTTGCCTTGGGGTGCTCACCTGCCCTTCACCATTATACGTCAGAACTAGCACCTGGTGGCCTGCCTTGGGGTGCTCACCAGCCCTTCACCATTATAAGTCAGAACTAGCACCTGGTGGCCTGCCTTGGGGTGCTCACCTGCCCTTTCACCCTTATAAATCAGAATAGACCCGGTGGTTTCCCTTTAGGTGCTCACCTGCCCTTCCCATTATTTAAATCGGGGAAATAGCATGGTGGCCCCGCCTTGGGGTTTCTCACCCGCCCCTTTACCATTATAAGCGAACTAGCACCCGGTGGCCTGCCCTTGGGGTACTCACCCGCCCCCTTTACGACTTTTAAACGAACTAGCACCTGGTGGCCTACCTTGGGGTGTCACCTACCCTCCCATTATAAGTCAAAAAATTTCTTTTCATTATGGAAAATAACTAAAAATCATTAAAAACAACTAAAAATTACGAAAAATAACAAACTTATCAAAATTTATAAAAAAATACGAGAAAAATAAAAAAAAAAAGGGAAAAAAAAACCAGAAAAATTTCGGAAAAAAAATAAAAAAATTTTCCCTAAAAATCCTCTGAACTATTTTTGAGTACATAGAATATTTTACTTAAAAAAAATAAAAAAAAAATAGCATAATACAAGGCTGTTTTTTTAGCGATCCTTCCCTGTTGAGGACCTTTTTTCGTAATTTTTTGTAAAAACTCTCATAACCTTCCATAAAGGCTGTATATACAGGATTTTTTCCATGTTTGTGGGGAATAATTGATCCAACAAACAGTGTCATCATGACCATTTTCCATTTTGAGAGAAATTTTTTCACCCCAAAAAATTTTCCATTTTCGGCCGGATTTTCAAAAAATTTCTTGAAATCACACCAGGGGAACTATTTTCTATGCTGATTCAGAATATACACTTAAAAATTTAAAATCATATCATTTTAGCATCATACGAGGCCTTCCTTTCCCGGTAATGCCTAACATAGGAAGCTAATATTTTCATTAAGACTATTCATTACAGAAAATAACTAAGTCATACTGCTTTCATCATTTTAGCATCATAAGAGGGTCTCGTATGATGCTAAAATGATATGATTTTACATTTTTAGTGTATATTCGGAATCAGCATAGAAAATAGTACCTACAGTTATTTGCACTAGTTTACCTATCATAACTTTGGGTTCCAGTCCCTGGACCCATTATGTACCTCTTGTAATCTTTAGACTACCACCCACAGGATGGGTATGTGGTGCATAATAAACATATTAAACTAACTAACTGTCTGGGTATCTGACCAAGGTGGGACGAGCACCTAGCAACAATTGTTATTTGGACAATAAATATATTCCCTTGAGATGCTTATTAATTTCTGGTATATATTCATTGTCTTCTATCTTTCGTTGTATTCCAACAGATAGATAATTAATTTTCAGAGTGAACTCTATTATAATTTAGTATTCTTCATATTTTTTTTATATTGTCATAATTCTTGTGACCTACTCTTTCTATCTTTATCGTCTTTTATTCAATGTTTTATATAATTTGTTATATGTGTCATTTTTATATAATTTCTTATCTGCCACATTTGATTTTTTATATTAATGCAACATTATTGACCCCAATGGAAATAAGTCACTCTGACTTTTTTGGGTTATCCCAGGTTCTCTACACGTATGCTGCTGTGTTTGATAATCTATGTAACTGTATTTGTGTATTCCTGAATAAACTTACTTACCCTGGTGTGACTTTAAGTAATTTTTAAAATCCTGCCAAAAATGGGGAAAAACGCTAAACTGCAGTTCGGGGATTCTTTGGGGCGAAAAAGCTTTTTCTCTCAAAATAGAAAATAGTCATGATGACACTGTTTATTGGATTAATTTGCTCCCCACAAACATGAAAAAATCCAGTATATTAAGCTTTCATGGAAGGTTATGCCAATAAAATCCCAAGCTCAGATACCCCACCAAATGACTACCTCACTGGCAACTACCCGAACACACTGTTCCTAGCTCCGACTAACCCATACGAAGTCTCCCTTATTATCAACGCACTGAAAAACAAGGCAGGAGATTTAAATACCTTACCACCCTTTATATACAAAAAGCGTCACAAGTACTATCACCAATCATTGCAACACTCTTTAACAAATCCATTGAATCCTCCACCTTCCCTACAGTTCTCAAAATAGCAAGGGTCACCCCGATCCATAAAGGAGGAGACCAAACAGAGTTGAATAACTATAGGCCAATATCCAATTTACACCCTCTCTCAAAAATCTTCGAAAAATTAATTCATAAACGAATCTACTCCTACCTCATCTCCCAAAACATTCTCAACCCCTGCCAATTTGGATTCAGGCCTAATAAAAATACTAATGATGCTATTATACACATGCTAGAACATGCTAGGGTTATATAGGAAGCGTGACAGTGTCAGCGTGCCTCGTTGTGCTCCGGGTTTTCTGGTGTTTTCACGGTGGCTCTTACGTGCTAGAACTTTAACTTGTGTCATCAATCCTATACGATACATCCCTCTAGCGCCTGGAACCAATCTTGGGCGGAAAACATTATATACTGAGTCAAAAAAGGAGAATTAGTGTGCACTACCTAGCAGAGTTTACTGCCAGAGGGGAATCATAGGCCTGTGTCCTGTGTGAAAAAAATAATAATAATTGAACTTTGTGTCAGAGGAAAGAAAGTCTCCCTGAAAACATTTAT